TTTACTGCAGCCCGTTGTCTTGGAAATTGCAGCCTCCTTGCAGCTGTGAATGCGCTCTTTTATAATCGTAATTAGAACGAATAAAATGAAAACGAATCGTTTATGTCATCGTGTTTAATAAACTTTCAGCTTTGAATTGATGTAACGCGAGCGGGATTTTCATATACTTTTATGTCGTCAAACTCCATCGAACTTTTAATGCAACCATTTAATGCAGGCATAAAATGTTAACGAACTTACGGTAACTTCGAAGAAGTTGAAGCTACGCTTTCTACCGGAGGTTGTTTATGAATCTCTGTTATATTGCAACTGTAGACTCATAAAATTACATCATAGGGTTGTTCATATTTATCTGGAGTTTAAACTTCCCCTTTATAGCTCCATTTCGTAAAGGCACTTAGTTAACCAGTAAATTTTGAAAGTTTTCAAGTCATTCATATCCATGCCGTCCTTTATGACTTCATAACTATGAAACTATTTGTAAGGTGAATGAAGGTAGATGGTAGAAGGTATTTAGTCATTTTGAATGTACTTTGTTATAATTTGGAACCTGATTGAATAAAATTAGGGCTCCTATTTCATTGTGTCATAGATCTTTTGATAAAAATTGAAGTCTTAATACACCTCTGTCAACACAGATGGTAGAAGATATTTAGTCACTTTGAATCTACTTTGTTATAATTTGGGACCTAATTAATTAAAATTAGGGCTTCTATTTCATCCTGATTTTCTGGTAAAAATTGAAGTTCTAATACACCTCTGTCAACACAGATGGTAGAAATTATTTAGTCACTTTGAATCTACTTTGTTATAATTTGGAACCTGATTAATTAAAATTAGGGCTTCTATTTCATCGTGTCATAGATCTTTTGATAAAAATTGAAGTTCTAATACACCTCTGTCAACACAGATGGTAGAAATTATTTAGTCACTTTGAATCTACTTTGTTATAATTTGGAACCTGATTAATTAAAATTAGGGCTTCTATTTCATCGTGTCATAGATCTTTTGATAAAAATTGAAGTTCTAATACACCTCTGTCAACACAGATGATAGAAATTATTTACTCACTTTGAATCTACTTTGTTATAATTTGGGATCTAATTAATTAAAATTAAGGCTTCTATTTCATTCTGATTTTCTGGTAAAAATTGAAGTTCTAATACACTCTTCTCAACACCCTTGTCATTAAAATAATTTTTGGAATTTCTATGGGATCATTATTCACCCAGAAGATGGTTCAGTAATTTAGGGTTAAACGGAGTCGCGAACAAATGCTGGAGATGTTGAACATGAAAACGACGACACTGGCGTCCTTACGTTTCTCGAGCATGCTCGTTGGCAAACCGTGGAATTGTTGTTACACGCTCTTTCGTAAATGAAAGCGTATTACAGGAACAGCGTCGAGACGGTTCACTACATTTCCCGGTGCACGACAGCTGTTACATATTCTCGAATGTGTTTCTCGTCTAATGCTCGACTGCAAATGCTAACGACGAGTTTCGTCTGGGTTCTAGGGAAACACACAGAATTTGGCCCAGTTATAACGTCGACGTTGATAGATCGTGTGTATACGCTATTTTGACGTACAAACAGCACCGGCCAAACTGTTCGTTTTCAATCCGAGGGGAAACAATGAAAAAGCAAGTGGAACGCGTTTCGAATCCGGCCCGGAAGGAATCGTATTCGATATCGATTTTTCCAAGCAACGCTGACAGCTCGTTATCGAACCGGTTAACGAGAAAAGTTTGTTATCGGTAACTTCGTGCAATTATAAATTGCATGCCTGCATCGGTGGCAAGATTACAAGAGCGGTGCATCGCGGAACCAGGCGTAAACTTTCGCGACGTTCGTAGAATTTTTAGTATCGGCATTCATCATGTATGACGAGGGGAGTTTAAATATGAAAATGGAAATTTTTTATCTGATACTTTTATTATTTATCAATAATTTTAATTATTGAAATCTAAAGGGAGTTTCCAGTTTTCAAATAAATTGTATAGACTGTCATTAATCCTTTGCACTTGAGAGGATTTCATTAGGGTTTTTGATAAGAAGTTGATGAACCGTGAATTTTTAAGAATTATGCAAATTTTGAGGGGCTACAAGTGGCGACTGAGAATCGCCTCTCGAGTGCAATGGATTAATCTATAATGAACTATTTTTAAAAAGATTTATTTTTATTTTATTTACAATTCTGATATATAAATTTCCTTCGGTGACTAACAGTGTAATTCCAACAATTTTATTTGCAAAACAAACATCTTTGCTAGGAAAATTCCAGACGCTTTTACATATTCTCTTCGCACGTGTTTCCTTCCATTGCGTCACATAATTCTCATCATATTTTTCTCTCCCCAAGCTGGCAGAAATCATCAAAAACGAGTGGTATAAATATGTATACGTCGTAGCCGTCAGCAGCCGTTTACCATAACATCGTTGGTCCCTGTTTTCGTCTCCCTAACTGTTCCTTTTTCTTGAACGCTAGTGTGGTTAAAGTCACCCTCACCGCAAGGAAAATGGATTCCACGTCGACGAACGTTCAACGGGATAACCCGCTCGGAAGGAACTTACGCCTTAGATCAGATTTATTCGATAGTACATCGCGGCACAAAATCCCCTTCGGGACTTTCCTTGCTTTTCCCCTTCCATGATTCACGTATTTCCATTAAGTTTTTATTTGACAACGGTCTACGCGAGGACGATATGTCAATCACTTTCGCTTGCCTTCTTCTTCTACTCAATCTTCCCTAGGAATACGTTACGGCTCGTTAACAGAGACGTTCTTATGTCTTTGAAAGATGTCTGGGTGGACACGGTGATCTGCTTCGAATCATTCTGCATCATTCATAGTTGTAAGTGCCAATTCACGTTAGGAGATGATATTTTTCTCTGTCGATCGCATACAGCCGAAAATTTATGAATCCGGAGCAGGATCGAAGCAGATGGTGAAAAGCTGTCAAGCGTGCAAAGTGTAAAAGCATAGCTGAGTAATTTGTAAACTGCTCTCCTTTATCTGTGATATTGTATTCTCTATATCTATGTTACTGGCCATCTAAATCCTGATATAAATAATATTAATTTTTTCCTAAATTAAAATTTTTGATTAAAGATCTTTGAAGATCCTTCTTATTTTACTAATTTTTAGAATAATTATTTTATAAAATTTTTTAAATGCCCAGGGAAAGTTTATATAAATATTAAAATAATTCGGATCTAGGCATTTTATATATTGCCTGCTTTTCATAGATTGCCGGTAACATATACAAGTCAATTGTATTGTGCCTTTTTATTTTTTTATTTTTATTATAAATTCAATAAATTATACACTCTTACACAGTGAAACAATATAAAGTAATGATTGAGACAATAGGATTTCTTAAGTTAAAATTAGAAATTGCAACGTTGTTTCTCTTCGAGGGGTGATTATCAGCGTGCAACAGACACAGAAGGTGTTTCGCCATCGTCAGCGCACCATCAATAAAACATTCTCCATCGACAGCATCCTTAGAAAGATGCTCGACATCAAGTTCTGTTAAAAGCGGAACTTTTATATGAGAAAATATTGCGTCAGCAAACTTTTTGCTATTAACTCGTGAGAAACAGTCGGTTGTTTTATGATCCACTTTATCCATACTTACGAGCTGAGGGGAAGAAAAAATGATACCAAGACGAAGCTTGTTTGACGAATTGACGCCTTCTTGTACCTTCAGGAAAAAAACTCGATATTCTGTGCGTGATGATATTCTTACTGGGTCATCTCATAGTCAATGAGGTCTTTTATGGTGTACGAGATAGCAAAGAAAACTGAACCCACGTTCTGACCTAACTCGCAAACGTATAAGTACAGCACGTCTTCCATAAAGATATGCAAAATTCCAAGTACTATATTTTTCAAACAAATTCGTAATCAACGGAACGATGACTTAAACCCCCCTCAATTTTCCATGGAATATATAATATCTCATTCGAAATAAAATTCCTGGCATCGAAATCTGTGGAATAACCCTTGTTCGAGAACACGATACCCTCCGGTTCTGAATATTTATTTCAAGCAATCCTTATATAACCTATTTACAGCTTCGGTTACACAACCTACACGCAGTATATCTTACCCTTATTTTCCATCCGAATGAAAGGTATCATTGTACGAAATCAGTTGCAAAGAAAAAGCTATGAAGCGTTTTACAAGTGGCGGAGTTCAGGCATCGGCGAACGTTACGACCTCTCCGACAATATCTTCATCCGCGCGTTGTACCCCAGAAGGAGCGTTCCAGCATAAACGTTGCATTCGGAAAAATTACCCTCGCGGTGCAAACAATCGTATAAATCAAGGTAGGGAAAGAAATGCCCTGGTTCGCGTGCTGTTCCAACGCGAATTCCCTATCCTTTTCCCAGGGCAGAGTTGTCGCAGCCGACAGATCGCAGCGGTCGCGAAATCGCGAACAGTAAATCGCAAAGGTAGTCGGGAACGTGTATTCTGGAGTTTACGATCGCCGGACAGCCGAATGGTGCTTCCCTACGGCGCCGAGAGTGTCAGAGCCAGGCCAATAAAACGGACCGAACGGTCTACGTAGGTGTGCATAACGGATGGCCGTTGGGCGAGAGCAGATTTGTTTGACACCGTGCTGCGGCAGCACCTAATAAAAGATGCTAATATATCCTGCGGTGTCGCAAACCTGAGAAGGGCTGAGTTTCGCGGGACGGAAGCTGGTTTCCTCGCTACACTGGTACCATGTAACTTAAAGAACCCGTCACGATTCGTTTATGCCGACGCTGCTTTCGATGCGATAGAATGTTATGGTACGGCTTGATTCATAAGTTATTGAAAATTATTAACCCTAGGTGATAGTACTTGTTAGTTAACCCTTTGAGAGTTGTGGACACGCGTATCGCATCCCTTAGCAACGACACTAAACGAAATATAGGAAAATCTATTTATATTAGTTGTATAATCAACCGATAGAATTCGTACTAATGAAAAATTATTCTGTTTTCAGCGATCCCGATCATTAGTCGCTCGTCGTTCACACAGAGCGCTTCGGCAGGTAGTATTCAGCACTCAAAGGGTTAATTTAAGATCGTGTATGATCGAGGATAATGTAAGTGTAAAGGAAAGGATAGTTTACTATAATAATTTGACAATAAAATATTTTCAAATGTATCTTTATTTTATTGAATGGATCTTCAGGTTTACAAGAGAGATACAATGTGAAACGCATGCGTGGTGAGCTTGTTGTTGCTGGACAAATCGCTTTGAAGCTAATTAACTGGGATGATATAGCTGTGCAACGTGTTTAATGACAATAGAGCACCTATGTGTACCATGAATTACCGAGATTGAAAGCGTCGGGAAATTGACGCTAATGACGAATTATTAAGGAAATGTGATTGTTACGGTTTAATTAATATTTGGAAAGCGAATCTTCCGCTCGTTAAAAGGCGCCCTTTTAACGTCGATGTTTTATTCATATTACAATTCATGATTATTTAATCAATTTTAAATACCCATCTCATGATAATATCAAACGATGTAACCATGTATTATATTGTAATTATTAATGACTATGCTGAATAAATAATTTAAGAGAAAAAAAAAAGAAAAAAGGAGAAACTGTCTGTCGTTTATTTGTACGATCCCTGTCTAATTTCAGTCATCGAAGGGGTTGAGCGATAAAAATAAAGAAGCAACGAAGATGAGAGCGATGGGTAACATTGTCGACAGGCTATTAACGAGAAACAAACATCGATCGTGGTATCGAAAATACGATCGGCATTAACTTTCAGTCCGATCTCGGAGCAAGCAGGGCGGTTGGTAAGCGTCAGCGAGGAGGATTGAGGAGGAACGAAACCGGTACAAAGCGCGTAGATAGAATCACGTTAACGAAGTCGGAAGGATTGAAAGAGAAACATAGGTATCGGTAAACATAAATAAAAGGGTGAACGAGAAAGGGTATTGCACGCCTTTATCGAATCCTTCCATAAGCTTCTGTCACGTTTCGTATTATATTTATTTTCAATATCCATATCCCATTTCTAAGTCCTTCAAAGTAAACAAGGAACGGTCTAATTGTTCTGTTATTTGGCGTATGATTATTACTCCGACAGACAGGAAAGGTACCGCCAACTAAGTCATGAACGGTAAGGATTATCTTGATTCCAGGTTACGAGCACGAGGATACCCCTTCTCGCATCTGAACCCCGCTAGGTGTACATATATTGAAATCCCGCGAAGTCATTTAACGTCGAACCTCGTCGGCTTGAACTGGAGAACGTAGCCGGAAACCGGGCAATAAATTGTGACGATAAGCGCCGCCGGGAACGTCCCTATCGCCAAGTATATGCAAAGGAAACCTCTGTCGCGTATCATTGAGTCTCTAACTCGCGAGCCTCCGTCCCTGGTGGGACGATACAGTTCTCTTCTCTTCTCTTCTCAGGGTACGTGCTCAACGTGTTCGGATACATTGCCTCCAGGTGAACATATCGTGGAATTTCTGCTTCCTCTTGCGACACGCGTGGGATTCGAAAGCGAGTTCCGACTTATTACGTAGAATTAGTTTGCCTTCTTTTATTTTTGGAATATTGCTTCTATAGTTTCATAGAATTTTCAAGCAGTATAATGGTAATTAAATTATGTAAGATTTTCTGTGTTTCAAAATCTGTCATTTGATATGCAACGATGTAATTAAAGTTACTTGCATTTTTTATTTGATAACTTTAACTTTGATAATAAAATCTAAGAAATAAATTGCGAAAGCGTTAAGCAAAAGCGATTAACTTGCCGGGGAAATGAAAGGTGAAGTCATTAAACCTGATATTATTATCTTGCATGTTTATAGCTTCAGTTACTTGTATTTTTTTTATCTGCTGTACGAAGAAATTTTGTACATATTTTTCTCTTTTTAATAAGGATGATGGACAGATAATTTTCCCCCCTTTCCTTTAAGAATAAATGTATTTCAAATTAATTTATCATAATTTATTAGATTTTTAATAGAATAAAAATTTACATTTCTCTACGAATATTATTGTTAATGGTACAACGGAAGGAACTTTTAATTAGCTCTCTGCAAAGTATTCTTCATTAATATTTCATTTCCTTGTCCATGCAAAAAATATACAAACAACGAGTTTGCTTTGTAGTACACTGTCTTGAACATTAACAATAATTAACGCAAGAAGGTGGAAATTTTTACTGTCACTTATAAAGTACAGGCTATATAGCTGTGAAAACATTTAATTAAGCTCCGTTCTCATTTATTCCGAGTAATGGGAATACTAATAGTAAGATAAGAGAATTAAATAAGAGTATATTTCAATTCATTACATTACGTTTAGCTTGTTCTCTTAACAAATTGCTTTGTTTTAAACCAATTCAAAATGTAATTGTTAAAACATTTTTAAAAAATATATATGTTTGTTACATTACAAAATAATTTTTCACTCTATAATAATATGTATTTAGGAATAATCAAATAAAAGCTTCGCGGGGCCCATCCTTCTTAACTATCAATTATTTTATTCTTCTTTCCGGGTCACATTGGAAGCTTCTCTGTATCCTTTGAATTTCTGCATTAATTATACCCCTATATCCCATACATCTCTGCATTACATCATTACAATCCTTAGATACCTGGTTCCCTTACATCCCTGCTTTCCTTACATCTCTGCATCCCTTACATCCCAGTAACTTTTACATCCCTACACCACTTACGTCCCTGTATTACTTACATCTCTGTATACCTTATATCCCTGATTCTTAATATCCCTGCCTCCCTTAGATGTCTGCATCCCTTGCATGTCTATATCTCCTATATCTCTGCAATCCTTATACCCCTGCATTCCTTGCTTTCTTTATATCACCCTGCATCCCTTACATCATTGCACCCATACATCTCCGCAACACTTATATCCCTGGTTTGCAAAATTTAGTTCATTTTTTTGCCACCAGAGGGCGCTGATCGGACGTTGAAATTTTAGTTCACATTTTTGCCGCCAGAGGGCCAAAAATGGTGCATGATTTAGTTCCTTTTTCCGAAACCAGATGGCGCTGACTCGAGGTCGAGATTTTAGTTCACATTTTTCCCGCTAGAGGGCCAAAATTTCGACATGATTTTAGTTCCTTTTTTCGAAAGCAGAGGGCGCTGATTCAACATCGAGATTTTAGTTCACACTTTTCCCGCTAGAGGGCCAAAATTTCGACATGATTTAGTTCCTTTTTCCGAAACCAGATGGCGCTGATTCAACATCGAGATTTTAGTTCACACTTTTCCCGCTAGAGGGCCAAAATTTCGACATGATTTAGTTCCTTTTTCCGAAAGCAGATGGCGCTGATTCAACATCGAGATTTTAGTTCACATTTTTCCCGCTAGAGGGCCAAAATTTCGACATGATTTAGTTCCTTTTTCCGAAACCAGATGGCGCTGATTCAACATCGAGATTTTAGTTCACATTTTTCCCGCTAGGGGGCGCTTTTTCGGGAAAAATATTTCAAATTTTGTGCTCCTGGAGGCAATACAAGAGCGTCTGTATTGCTCAGATGTAAGGGATGCAAAGATATAAGGAATACAGGGATGTAAGGGATGCAGTGATATAAGAAACGTAGAGATGTAAGGGATGCAGGAATATAAAGAAAGCAGGATTATGAGATGCAGGAATATAAGGGATGCAAAGATATAAGGAATACAGGGATGTAAGGGATGCAGTGATATAAGAGACGTAGAGATGTAAGGGATGCAGGAATATAAAGAAAGCAGGATTATGAGATGCAGGAATATAAGGGATGCAAAAATATAAGGAATACAGGGATGTAAGGGATGCAGTGATATAAGAGACGTAGAGATGTAAGGGATGTAGGTATATAAAGAAAGCAGGATTAAGAGATGCAGGAATATAAGAGACGTGGAGATGTAAGGGATGCAGGAATATAAAGAAAGCATGCAGGAATATGAGGGATGCCGGGGTGTAAGGGATGCAGAGATGTGAGAGATGTAGGGACACAAGGAATACTGGGATTTAAGAAATGTGGAATGTGAGGGAAGTATACCTCACCAGGGATATGAGAATACCGTGATTTAGGGGTAGTCTCCACAAGGACCATGAAAGGAATGAAAAAAATAAATACCTGTGAAGGGAGGCCTTGATCGATACAGAGGAATAAAATAATTAATAACTGAGAAGAGTGGAGTTTGGCCCATAAGGAAGGATTAAATAATAAACAAAAGGAGTGGTCAGCCGAGGCCCAGAAAAGGGATAAAATCATAAATTTTATTCCCCTTTGATGAGCTTATTTAATAAGCGAGAAAAATAAATAAAGTAAATTGGATAAACTTTGAAAATAAATTAGAAGTATATGTACGTTTGACAGGTTCATCCGCATCCCTCGGCGGTCGCTATAAGACTGAGGAGGTCGCACCTTGTTGTAAGTATATAAATAACTCAGAAAGGAAATTAGGTAAATTAAATAATAGCTTAGTTACTTTTTTAAAATGATCTATTTATTAAGACGTATGGATCGTATACAAGTTTGTCTCACAATTATTTTAACAATTTTTCAATCTTATACTAATTTTGACTAATTTCTAAGATAATAGAATAAAAGGAAGTTAAAGTTGTGTCTTCTGAGTTGACAATGCGAGGGTGTGGTAGAAGAGGCACTGATGAAACAAGCACGAATGTCATCTCAGCTGTGCTCTCTCACCTGGGGGATGTCTGGCAGCTCCAAAATCATGATCCCTCTCGAACAAAGGCAGGTCCAGTCTTTATGTATCTGTAGTCACTGCTGATTGCAAGCCAGTCGTAATAGACGTACGTGCATAACATTACCAACACCGAAGAATTTCGTCGTGACTGGCGTATAAAAGAGTTCTATAGGCTAAACGCAAAGAACTGTAAATTACGAACACGTGTTTGCACGGAGAACACCTATGGAATGCATACGTGAAAGATTGTTGACTGTTGATTTATGTGCTGCTGTTATGGAATACGAAATTCCTTTTTCTTCGCACTGTTCGATTTCTTACGACTTCAAATTTATATACAATAATAATTGTCGCTTATCATTCTTTTTATAAAATAATTTTTGAATAATTTATCCAACATCAATGTATTCAAATGTGAGCTTACTCCACGATATTGTATTTACTGGAATTAACGCAAACTATCGCGTGAAAGTTTGTTCTGATAGCACGTACCACTGCTAACGGTGTTTCATGAAGTGGAGTCGGCACGTCCCTTGGATAATTAAAACTTTCGGGAACGTAATTCCGCCGCAAATTTGCCAATTCGAGCGTACGGCTCAGGAACGATTTGTAATTAACGCTATCGATAAAAAGGAGAATCTGAAAAGCGAGTCCTTCGCACGGTACAATCCTTTCACTTTATGTTGGAAATTATTCAAAGAGGTGGAATATAATCTATCACAGCTATTAATATTTTCATTCTGAATAATCACTTTAATTTTCCTTGTTATAAAGGAAAATGTTTCAGAAGAAAATATATGTAGCAAAACATCCCAATATTAAATAAATTACTTTGTTATAAATCACGTTTTATTTATATTGCACTGATTCATTATATGCTGATTTAGTTTGTCTTTTCCACTTTTAAATTTATTTTCCTTCTTTATACATAACAGACGATCAAGCAGCGAGACGGAGCGTAAAA